TCACCCTCACTAATCTTTCCCACTTCCTGGTCCACAGTTGCTATAACCTCTACTCTTCTTTCTCTTTCATTCTCTTCATTCATTAGCTCCTCAAAATACTCCTTCTATCTTCTTGTCACACTCTCCTCACTTGTTAGAACATTAGCATTCCTATCTTTAATAAGCCTAACCTGCTGCACATCCTTTCCAACCTGATCCCTCTGTCTTGCCAATTGGTACAAGTCCTTTTCGCCCTCTTTAGTGTCCAGTCTCCCATTCAACTCATCGTTCGCCCTCTGCTTTGCCTTAGCTACTTCCCTCTTTGCTCTACGTCCCATCTCCTTATATTCCTGTCTCCTCTCTTCAGTCCTCTCACTGTCATATTTCTTCTTGGCTAATCTCGTTCTTTGAACGGCGTCCTGCACTTCACTATTCCACCACCAGGTTTCCTTATCATCCATTCTCTGTCCAGATGACACACCAAGTACCTTCCTACCTGTCTCTAATTACTGTTGCTGTAGTAGCCCAGTCATTTGTAAGCTCTTTCTTACTACCCAAAGCCTTTAACAGCTCCTCTCTGAATTTCTCACAACATTCTTCCTTCTTCAGCTTCCACCATTTGGTCTTCTTCTCTGATTTTACTCTTTTTCTCTTTTTCACAACAACAGTCATTCTACACACAACCATCCAATGCTGTCTGGCCACGCTTTCCCCTGCCACAACCTTACAGTCCCCAATCTCTCTCAGATTTCCTCTTCTACACAGAATATAGTCGACCTGCATACTCCTTCCTCCACTCTTATAGGTCACTCTATGTTCCTCCCTGTTTTGGAAATAAATATTGACTATAGCCATTTTCATTCTCTTGGCAAAATCCACCACCATCTGTTCTTCCTGATTTCTTTCCTTGACACCAAATCTACCCATCACTTCCTCATCCCCTCCGTTTCCTTCACCAACATGTCCATTCAGGTCTGCTCCGATCACCACTCTCTCCTCCCTGGGAATACTCTCTATCACTTCATCCAGATCTTTCCAAAATGTATCTTTCTCTTCCTCATCACATCCAACCTGTGGAGCATAACCACTGACAATGTTTAGCATCAGACCTTCTACTTCTACCTTCAGACACATCACCCTATCTGACACTCTCTTCACCTCTACTACATTCTTTGCCAACTCCTCTTTTAGGACCACCCCTACCCCATTTCTCTTTCTATCCACACCATGGTAAAACAGTTTGAACCCTGCTCCAATGCTGCGAGCCTTGCTGCCCTTCCACTTGGTCTCTTGGACACATAAAATATTTACCTTCCTTCTCTGCATTATGTCAGCCAGCTCTCTACCTTGGCCTGTCATTGTCCCACATTTAGAGTTGCAACCATCAGTCCTACATTCTTCACTTTCCTCTTCTCCTCTGTCTCCTGACACGTTTCCCTCCTCGTGGTCTTCGACTAACAGTAGCACAATTTCCCCTGGCACCTTGTTTGTCAACAGCACCATTGGTGATCGTTGTTAACCCAGGCCTTGACTGATCCGATATGGTTTCTGTCAGGGTTTTACCTGTACCTTAAATAAAACACAAGGGAGACAAGAATGAGATTTCTAGAACGTATCTTTGCAAAGAGGGACAGCGTTCGACCGAAGTCAGAACAAAGTCCAACTTGTTTCAGCGTGCGTTCCTTTTTTATTCAGGCAAGTAGGAATGGCAAACATTCAGGCAAGTAGGGATGGTAAACAAGAAACACAAGATCTGGTGGTTTTCAGGTAACATAGACATGGCAGTTTCTATCAAAACAGGAACTGTGAGTTTCCAACAAGTCAGTAGAGAAAGATTTCACAGCATTATAGAACAGTTTAAATGAGTATAAGTTTAAACGATCAATAGATAGAGTAAAATACTCTAACAGTTTCACTTTGATGAACTCACATTATGGTTTTGGCAAAAGTGTTTTACATCGGATGCCATTCCTGACAGAACCCTCACCATTTAACCTGGCTTGGGACCGGCACAAGAGATACACTGGCTTGTGCTCCCTAGTGGCTGGTTTAAATCCAAATCCCAGTTACATCCAACAAAAACATAAATGGTAAAGAAAAACATTAGTAAGATCCAAGTCATGAATTAAGAATACACTACATTCATTAAACTAAGAATACATAAGACTAAGAATACACCAAGCACTAATGTACAAAAACAATGTGCCAAAACAACAGCAGCATGAACATGAGTCTGTGTGAGCAGATGAGGACTAATGAACACAGCAACATGAAATAATCAGCAGCATGAGATCAGCATCATGGATAGTCAGCAGCACACATCAACAACCAAGTGGCATCACTGTGATTTTTCCTGGGTTGAGATTCATGAGTCTAACAGCCTCAGGGTAGAAGCTGTTCCTCAGCCTTCTGCTTGAGGGGAGTGGGGCAAAAAGTGTGTGTGCTGGGGTGTGGGGTCCTTCATGATGCAGGTGTCCCTCTTCCTGCATCTAGAGGTGTAAATGTCTGTGATGGTGGGGAGACTGACTCCAACAAACTTCTGTGCAGCCTTCACCACTCTCTGCAAAGCTTTTCTTTCTGCAGCTGTGCAGCCTCCATGCCACATGTTGATGCTGGAGCACAGGATGCTCTGCACTGCACACCTGTAGAAGGAAGTGAGGACTGAGCTTCCCAGACCAG